GTATCGACTGTTGGTTGTGATTCGCCCAATTTACAATTAGACAGGGCTAAATAGTAATTAGTGAGTATATAATGTGTGGGAGATATCAGTAGCTGTGTGTTTTCTTTCATTCTGCGTCAGCGTGTTAATTATAATGAAACGGCTTTTACTATTTCAGCTGCAGCTTTTTCAGTGCTTTCCCTTTCAAGCAGCTGGCCTTGTTTATATGCCGTAGAGAGCAGCATACACAAACTATGCACTCTCTCTCTCTCTCTCTTTGGATTAGCAGTTTCATACTGGCAAGCATCACACTGGATTAGCAGTTTTATACCAAAGAGCCTCTTCTAAGCCAGACATTTTGCATCAATAAAGTCAGTGACTACATATAATTCGGAGAATTAACAAGAACATGTCATGTCACTCTTCTCCTCTCTTGTATACACATTTCAGTGTCAAAGGACCGGTGTTTGAGTTGAGATCTGACATCCTCTGTTTACTCCTTTGCTGGTAGAAAGTCCCAAGGGCTTTACACTCCCATAGTCTCACTGCCTCCATCCCCCACCACCGCAAAGGGAAGGAAGCGGCTCAATGTTTCCCCACATCTCTCCCTGTCCCTCTTTCTTTTTCATTCATTTCATTAATCCCTGTCTGTCTGAGTCTCCCTCCTGGACACCCATTCATCGGTCATTCAGCTTAATTATGTACTCAAAACTTGTCTTTTAATCTGTCTGGATGTCACTCCACTCACTCACAGCTCTTGGTCTGGAGAGAATTTCAGTCTGGCTAGTCACTGGCCTAATTTATGGTATATTTGCCACCGTGGGTTTAAACCTTTAAACTGCTGATTAATGTCACATTTAAATTCAAATCAACTTAAAGATGGTGAACTCTATATTATTGAATATGCCCTATATATCACACCCTCTTTGTCCCTATAACTTCTGCCATATGTCTTTCCAATCCTTATTCCCTGTGTATTCCTCCACTCTTTCCATTTCCTCTGCCCCTGTCCTCAGTTGCAGGCTCCCAGTGTGAAAGGCTTTGACTTTGCCAAGCTGCACCTTGGCCAGCAGAGTAAGGATGATGTCATGGTGATTCAGGAGCCTGTCCCGCCAGGGCCTGGCCCTGGACCCCTGCCCATGTCCATTAAAGATGGCCTCAGTCCATCTGAGAACGGGGAGATCCCCACTCCCATGTCCAAAAACTCTGCCTCCTCCACCAAGGCGTCCCATAGTGGGCGAAGGCGAGAAAGGTCAGTGCTCTTGAAAAACAGTTCATGATCAGTTTAAATGAATATGAAGATATGAATTAAATTACATCCGGTTATGTCATATACGTTATGCTGTCACAGGTTACATAACACAAAAAGTACCAGAAAGAGGCCCTGAATTCACATTAGCATTCCATTTTAGACTAGTATTTTACTCAATGATGGTCACTAGGTTCTGATCATTTTTTGTCTTTATGCAGCATCTGGTCGAACACTGTTTACTCACAGCTGATTTAATCCTCCACGTTATATACATATTAAGATATTTATTTAGATATTTAACAGAGCTTGTTTTTTACCCCATTACTCGTCTTTTCCACTCGCCTCATTTGGGACAGTCAGCCAACCAGACAAAAAGCTTTTGACAGATCCTCAGATCAATTATTTATGCACTAGACAGTGAGGGATCTTCACTCTTGCATTCTGTCAGTTTGTCTATATCGTTTACATTCAATTATGATAACATGCACCTACTATAATTACTGATTTCAATAAATAAATGTCATTATAGTTGAGTTTCGGAGATGTTTCTAGATGTTCAGAGGAAAATTATGCACAATTGACATCTCTCTGCCAATAAATCCTCTTAAATGTTACACACTGGTTAAGTGTGGGATTGGTATTTGTTGTTTCTCCTTACTTGATAGCTGTCAAGGAAATTAATTGTGAATCATATTATCATTTCTTAAAAGACTTTTACCTTTCTGGAAAAACACTGTTTTCATTTATGCATGGGATTTCAGCATGTTGGTGTGTTCTTAGGCTTCTATTATTCATGTGTGTCTTCTCCGGGTAGGATCTCACCGTCAGACGGTGACTCGGTGGTAAGTGACCGTTCCAGTGAGCGGGAATCAACTGAGGAGAACCGGAGAGCCTACGCCGCGCCCAGCGACAGCAAGCAGACCCGTAAGGTCCCCATCAATGTTTTAAACGGCAAGTGGCCTTGGAAACACTCACATCATTCCAAACACAGAGAGCAAACACGTGGGGGGAGGGGAAGGAGGAAACTGAATGGATTGGGCAGACATAAAGAGATAAAGAGAGAGCAACTCAAGCTGTGATGATTTGATTGACAAGAGGGTCAGATTGAGAGCAAAGGGGAGACTGAAGTGGTGAAAAAAGACAAAGCAGAGAAAGACTTAGGAAAACAGCAGCGTCAACCAGTGACATAAAGATTATAGAGGGGAACAGTGAAGGTAAAAGAAACACCTGGTAGGAAGTCCATTCAGCGGTCGAAAGAAGTCCAGACAGAGGAGGGAGAAGGGAATAGGAGAGAAAAAATAGCTGAAGTTACTCTATCTGACAGCTTGTTGATAGATTCAAGCCTGCAATGTCACTCAGAGACTACATGCTGGAGCCAGAGGCAGTCAGGCACACAGTTTACAGCCTGACTCACCCACAGAGGAATGGTCTCTGTTTTGTTATTGATAAATCTCTGCCTGGGAATGTATATGCTCTGCCACAATGTTTAGACATAGGTTGAGACATGCTCATTATTATGTAATGTGCCATTTTTCTTTTTGCTCATTAAGCCGGTGTTTTGATCAGCGTGTGTTTTCCTCTCAGCTCCTTCCTTTCTTTTCTTTGATTAATGAACTTCACAAGGCCAGACGAGAAGCTTTTATCAGTTCTGGAAATGTATCCTTCTAGATGACTCACTTGCATTTCCCTCTCTCTTTGCTTCTCCTCTTTATTTCTCCTCTTTATTTTTCTGGTGGCCAGACCTCAACCTCACTAGGCTTTTTTTTTATTTTCTTATTGTCAACATACAGTAACCACTTCTATCTAAGGTGCTTTTATTTGATCTCCTTCACCTTAATAAAACTGTTTCCTTTCTGTTGTGGTTTGCAGGCAAGAATAGAATTGGTAAGAGTTTGATGTCTCTCCGTCTGTGTCTCCATAGACCTCAGGCTTGACCTCCAGCAGCTGTGTGTTGTATGTTAGTTTCTGTGGTAGTTTTGTGCTTGGCTTGTTCTCACCATCCATCACTGTCTGCTGAGTTGTCAGTCACCGCGTATCAGCTTCACAAACAAACAAACAAAAACATTGTTTGAAATGAAGTTAAGCTTTTGCAAATAGAAATCAGCAATTATGTTAGAACTGGAAACATTTACTCCCCGCTTTTGTTATAAGTTGTATTTTAAGTCATGTCAGCTGAATAAAAAGGTTAATCTTTTGTAGAGATTGCTACGCAGTAGTTATATGTGCTCTGTCCCCTTGTTTAAGTCAGTAGTAGCATTTTGACTTGGAATGACTAAACTGTGCTGACTAAGTCATGACCTCTGTTTTTCTACTTTCCTGCTTCCTTCCTCAGGTCCCCCTCCTATGAATGGTACAAACGAGCAGCTGTCCTCAGCCTCCATCTTTGAACATGTTGATCGGATGTCTCGTGCAACAGATGCAAGCAGGAGACTCCCCAACAAAGTCCAGCTTATCGCCATGCAGCCCATGCCTGTCCCACCACTGCACAGCCCACCCATCAACGGCAAACTGTCTGACAGCAACCAAATTAACAAAGAGGTTGGCTCTTCTGACTTTCTTGCTTGGCAAAAACTTTTTTTTTTTTAAGAAATACTTTAATTCTAAAGTATAACTTTCTTTTTTCTCTAAAGGGGATGAATTGGAAGAAATGTTCTTGAGTCGAGTGAATTTTTACTGATACTGGTGAAGCATGACAGCACAATGATACTTGTTGCTAGAAAATTCATCAAACTAGTGCAACCACATTTAAAAAGAAATGAGAATCAATTGATTTGGATCAAACAGGTGTGAAAACACACACACATCTGTTCCTGTTAAATTGTCTCTTACATTAGAAAATTAGAAAACTTTGGCCCCAAATTGGCTCTTTGTCAGGTACAGAGGGATCAAAAACTGGAATTATTTTTATCGGTGTAATAAAGAAGGCCTAATAGGAGCGTTGTAAGTCCCTTTGAACAATAAATTAACTAATTTGCTGTTTAAAATATACATAATATTATTTATTCTATGGCGTTGGCATAGTTCCTGTGGTTTGTCACTAACTGTGTGCAGTGAATGAGCATGAAATATTGTAATCCTGCTGTTTTAGGTCTTAACTCATTTACAGTTAATCCAATCTGTGTAGATGTTAAGGATGTTGTCTAACAACGTAATTTTCTCCTCAGATCCAGGTAGCATTGAGACACAAGTCTGAAATTGAGCACCATCGTAACAAGATCCGTCTGCGTGCCAAGAGGAAGGGCCACTACGACTTCCCTGCCATGGATGACACAACAGGTGGCCTCGCAGATGCAAAGGACCAGGATCGCATCTACCAGAAAGCACAGATACAGATCGATAAGATCCTGGACCCAGATGCACAGATGGCCTCCATCTTCATGGGATCCAAGAAAAGGTTAGGGCTCATGTTTTTGGTCATTGCACTTGTTTGGACAAGTTGCTATTTGTATATAGTTGTGTAATAAATAAAAAATAGAGATAAGTACATTAACATTTCTCCATTTTTTTCCGAGTGGTCGAGGGAGGCGCTCTCCCAAACAGAGGATGAAGGAGCAGCTGAGTGGAGGCATGATGGAGGCAGACAAAGACCACCTCATCACTGAAGACAGTGATGCTGCTTACAGAAAGTGTCCAGGAGTCAACAATGTGGCCTACGTAGTGAGTAGTACAGGAGGAGGAAGAAAATTCTTTACTACTTTAGTACTGATTGAACTTCTTTACTCAAGAAAAAGTACAGGCTCTGAAATGTAATCAAAGTATAAAAGTAGTCTCTTAGTACTCTCTACATTTCTACCGGCTGTTTTAGAAAATATAAGGAGTAGAAAGTACAGATATTTGTGTAACAATGTAGGGGGTAAAAGTAAAAAGTTGTAAAGTAGTAAAAATAAAAAATAAAAATAGTAGTAAAGTAGTAAAAATAAAAAATAAAAATAGTAGTAAATAGAGAGACCTAAAAAAAGTAAGTACAGTAACAAAGTATGTGTAGGTTGTTATTTCCCACCTCTGACTGTATAACCTCTAGGTCTCTAACTGTCTGTAATTATGTTGTGTTCGTTCTAGTCCGACCCTGACCAAGGCCCAGGATCCCCTCACAGGAGCCCCTCCCCCACAGATGACGTCTTCCTTGGTCCCGCTTCCTCTCCTCCAGGTCACGCCCCTCCCCCACCACCCTACATGCCCCCGCAGCCCTCCATTGAGGAGGCGCGGCAGCAGATGCACTCACTGCTGGATGATGCTTTCGCCCTAGTGTCGCCCACCTCTCAGGGCAGCACAGCAGGGATCACTCTCCCAGGGGTCAACACCAACCCCCCTGGCTCCAGCCCTCCCGGCCGTGGCCCCAGACCTTGGGGTCCCTCCTACCCAGCTCTTGGCCCTTTCCCTGGAGTAAGTAGCCAAACCTGGCGCTTATACATACAGGGTACCTTTGATAGAGCATTAACCATTCAGTCAGTATAAACCCCCAATGCTTTCATGTTGTACTGTGCAGAACTGTGTTAGCAACAAATGGTTGTCCATGGTATCTAAGCTTTTGCTAGTTCCCGTAAGCTGTATTCTGTTGTGCATCTGTTCATGTCACTAATCTGGGGACAGACTAAAAGAAATAGGCTCCATGTTTATATTTGAAATAGCACAACAGCAGACTTGAATAGACACATGTGAAAGCCTTTGTATTCACTATCTCCTCCCTTTCCCAAGCTTTTTTAGCTCATTCCCAGCAAGAAGCCTTTAGCCTCAAGTTTAATCGCGTCCTCTTAGCAAACTAATCAGTTAAGTATTCCTCCATCTGTCACCCCCATGGAGCTGCTGCTATCGACAACTCCTAAGACTCTACGGTAATATGCCCTGGATATGTGTGAGCGGCATTAGCTCCTGTCAGTGTAGGCTGGTTTCAAAGAAAGTACAGTCATATAACTGCTCTGAAGGCTGCTGGAATAATAAGCGCAGTGTTCGCACTTTGTATTTGTTTGTCTGTGCAAAGCAGCACCATACAAAGGCTGGTTTATGCAGTGCCACAGTTTGTTAACACATTAAGCCTGGACTCCATAATACTGAGCATGTGCAACACACTGTGTTTGTTGTGATTCATGTTATGGGTAGAACTGTCAGGAGAGGAAGTAGAAGTTATCTATAGCATATCCTCTTCTTTGAAATTCATAATGAAGGGTAGAGCTCAGCTAGATTAAAGTTTTTCAGTACTCATGGGCATTATATGTGGAAAAAAGTTGTTTAGAGATGGCAGAGCATTATATTAATATTACATGAAGCTGTAAAGATCTTTCCCCATTAAATCACTCTTAGATTAGCAGTGAGGGTCATGCTGTAAGCATTATAACTGTTCAAAATCCTCATCAATATTTTATAGATACAACAATACAATTCCACTCTCAATGGAAAAAATCAAGTATAGTATTTCAAGGTTAATATATGTGGCTTAATGGTACTAAAACTAAACATGTCCCTATAATATAGGTTAATTAGGGCGCCTGGTTAGCTCAGTTGGTAGAGCTGGCATCCCATGTACCGAGGCTGAGTCCTTGCTGCAGCAGCCCACGGTTCGAATCTGACCTGCAGCCCTTCGCTGCGTGTCTTCCCCTCTCTCTCTGCCCCCCTTTCCTGTCTATATTCAGCTGTCACTATCAATAAAAGCCCCCAAAAAATAAATAATATATATATATATATATATATATATATATAGGTTAATTAATGCTATGGAATGGAACTTCTCACTTGCATACTCATTCTCAAATACATTTTACAGCCATCAACATACATTAATCACTACTCTGTCCAACACCGCTGTTCACCTCAGGTGACAAATATAGAGAGAGACTTTACAGTGAGCAGTGGAGCCATAAAATGCTATTTGCTGGTTCTGCTTTTGCAGGTTCAGTGCTTTAATATGCTGTAAAAGGTCAGCTGTAAAAAAAGAAGGATATGCAATAAAACCATGTTTGGTAGAAAAAAAAAACACAATGTTTTCTACCACATATGAGGTGAACCCCATGGCCCAAATACATTTTACATAGCAATAGGCACAGTACTACTAGTACTAGCAACATCTACTGCGAGCTCTCTTTACATTATTACAATATTTGTATATGATATATCTGGATATATTATGAAAGCTGTACCACATAAAGTTTACTGAATATTTTAGAAATTGATTGTACCTTAGAGCCGGTAAACATTAATGTGTAGTTTAGCTTCCCTATTTCAATAGATATATATATATATTTATAGTTACTCATTTTCTCCGCTGTGTGTCTTAACTTGTCTTCTCCAGAGGTTCACTGATCTGGGCATATCCCCCCCTCCTGTCCAAGGCCTGATATCAAGGTAAGTAGAGCGATTGATGAAAATTGAGCATTCATGTATAAATTAAAAAATAATATGCTTATTTGACATTCACTCCATTCACTCCTACACCAAAATTATTTCTTATAGGCCTTTACAGCCTGATTTCCACCACTTTACCAGTGGGAATGTTTTTCTAAGTACATTCAGTGAGTTGTGGCTCATAAATAATGAAAGAGGAGTCATCTTTTTTTTATTGGTTTAATGGATTAGGTCTAAGCAGCGGTCTCTTAACTGGCTCCAAAAAGACCAAGGCACCCATACACACTCACACATTTATGTCATAACACAGCAGGTTTTTTTCATGAAGTCAATTCATTTTCTAGAGAGCAGAGCAGCCAACCAACCCTAAATGATGTGGTCAAACAACTTATCACCACCAGAGATTTGAGCACAGTGGTACTAAAGTATCATTGGCAGCTGTCAGCCATTTAGTTATACTTTGTGGTTGTAAATTGTGAATTGTTTAAAAATGTATAAATTGCATGAGGCCAATTTTAAAGGTTATATGAGATTTAAAACATTAATATAGCAGCAAACAACTATTTGCTGTGTTAGAAATAGTGCAGTAATTGTCCCCTGAACAGAGAATGGCATCACGCCCCCTCCCCCTGTGTTGCTATTGCAGTCTCTCTGTGGTTTGTTTACATAGCCGGTCAATAGATTAGAGCGACTGAAACTGCTGTCTGTCTCATCTACGTTGGTCAATTGATGTATTTAAGAGACAGTTTTGGTGAGTTTTATTTTGTCCACTTTGAATAAAGTAATGATGTTACAGTGATGGTAAAATTAGTGTTGGCGAGCGATAGTGGTTTTATGGCTGTTTCTGATTGAACTAAAGACCTATGTCTAATGGGATCTTTTCCTTAATGTTTTCAGACAACAGTCTGTGCCAGTCAGTGGAAAAAACAAGCACTTTTAGTGGACGTACTTTGATGAGCACGTTTGTCCCTAAGGTCACTCATACAAGAATTGTATGCAGCAGTGTACAATATATGACCATATTGTCACTGCTTTTGTACAAAAAGCTGATTTGGACACAGATGTTCTGTATTATGAAGGGTCCATTGATATGACAGCGTAGAGACAGAAACAGAAGAATTCCAATAAATTTGTCACAATACATTTCTTTGTCTTTCAGGCAGGGCCTTGGCTCGAGCTACCTGCCACCAGGAGAGACAGCAGGACAGTGTGAGCAGCTTCAGCCAGACAGCCTGTACTCCAGCAGGGGCCTCTACGCTGATGAGCTCCCCTCATCTGCCAGACCACGACCAGTAGGAGGAACTACAGGTACAATGGAAACTGTACACACACAGACACAGGGAAGCATATATTTCTTTTCATGCCTACTAATACTGTTGGATTCAGATGTTGCATACATATGACTTAATCTTGTTTCCATTTTTATATAGCTTCATTAAAGTATAAAACGTTTCAGCATGAAAGGAAAAACAGACACATCTAGAGGAAAACACTAGAAGGTTGATTAACTTATTCATTGTCTTCAAACAAGTGTTTGGCTGTTGATACACTTTATTTTAGATCACTTCTGGATGTGGGCCACAGCACTGTTCCTTAATACAAACACACCTCCACCCGATAAACCTGTCAAACTGAAAGAGCCTTGTCTCTCTGTTGAATTATTAAAGGACCTGGCGTGATGCTGCTGCCATCATGTGACTTAGACTAATAGAAATGGATTCTGGCATTCACCATGCAGAGGGCTGCACAGCAGAGACAGAGTGCTTTTCAGACTGTAGTGATTGTACCAAAGTATATTAAATGTGCTGCTGAGGATTGAGTCCCAGGTATTGTAGCTCTGATGTGATGTGTGTGTGTGTGTGTGTGCGTGCTTGTGTAGGTGCCCAGCTCCATCATCTTACGCAGGTGGGATTGTCCAGCCGGATGAATGGTTACCCAGCAGGGGTCAGGGCTGCTCCAGGGCACAACGGAGGCATTGGCTGGAACCACTACCATGATGACAATTTCTCCAGGACAGAGCCTGAAAAAGATCCAGTGAGTGAATCACAGATTTCATTTTGTTAAGACTAAGGTCTTCTATCCATTAAAACTTGAAATGAAAACAAAATTGTAAAAAGTATGAATCATTCAGCCAAGGGGGATTTTTTTATTTTCCTTATTCCAAAAAACAACAATGAAATTCGTTGAAGAAATGTCTGTGTATCCAAAACCTGATCTGGCGGTTCCATTAGAAACTGGATGACATGTTCCTTAAATGCAATGAACTTTTGCACTTTAGTTTATTTTAAGTGGATCTCACATGCAGTACACCACCTCACTGTATCCTGCATAACTAGAGCACCAGCTGAAAATAGTCCCCAACAAAAAAATAAATCAGGATGGATTTTATCAGTAGGAAAACAGAAAGTATCAGGAGACAGATGTTGTTATGTTTGACCTTTTTCTGGAATATAGAATAATGCCAGCTTTATTCTTTAAGCTCTCTCATAATTATATATATATACAAATGTATTTTTCCTGTAGTCCTAAGCTCTTCTCTTCTAGTTCTCTCTTTTCTCTCCCACTCTAGTTCTATCATTTGCCAGTCTTCTTACATTTTTCCTCTCTTTTCTTCCTCTCCCTCTTTCTGCTTCTGCTTACCCTTCCTTGCTGCCTTCAGTTCCGGGATTGTCCTGACTACTCGCCCTCCTCTATCTTCCAGACGCCGAGAAGTGGCAACAGGGAGCCCTCAGCACCCCCTGTCCACCTAGACACGGGGGTGGGCTATCTGTCAGCCCCGCCGCCCCTGGATACATCTCCTCCTACCCACTCCTCTGCCTCCCTGATCAAGGCCATCAGGGAGGAGCTGTTGCGGCTCTCCCAGAAACAGGCAGCTGTGCCCAGCTACCACAGCTGAAGCCCCCGGCCCCCGGTCTGTAGCTCTAACCAGTCATGCCACTGACCCTGCCTGCCTGCTTTGCCTAATCTGACAATACTTCCCATGGAAGTCACTGAGGGTGTACAGCAGAGAGATAGTCCTGCTAAACTGAAGGGAAGAGATGGCTAATAAAGATTTCTACCTGAAGAGGTTGCCCTCATGAAAAACTGAATGACAGGATTGTTGATACAGCTCCTAGACTATTCAGAGTACAGAACCAGATCAGCTGCAGTATGTCCAATCAGAGACAGCGTAATAAAGTGAGGAACAATATGAACAGTATATGTTGGACCTTTTAAAATGAGAGGACATGACGTGTTTGGACAGCCCATGTGTCTGTCCTGCACATTGTGGATCAGGGAAGTGATCATGCCAGGTTCTGACCATTGTGGATCCACATTCTGGACTTGATTTTGCTGCATTTATTTGGACTCAGTATTCTGTGTCATGGTTTCATTCTCATGCTGCCTTCACTAAACAAAGAGTGTATAATACCCCCTAAGACACGTGTCATTTAAAGAAATGTCTTTTTACATTACTTAAACTAGCATACAGGCGTTTGTTGCTTTCCAGTGCAGGCCCTTAACCTCTTTATCACCACCAGGTGCTACTTCCTGTTTTCTGCCACGATGAGCCATGCTATGCCTTGACACTGTGATGTAATTGACCCGACCCAATCTACTGTACGAGCCTACAGTGAGGTCATAGTTCACAGCCAGCGAGCCAGTTCAGACAGTAGGCACAAAGGGGCATCCATAGAGACTAATAACACTTCTAAACACTACCTATAATTCTTTCCGTACTTATTTGCAGTAGCACAGTTAGTCTGAGTTGATATTTTTTGACCTCTTGACTTTGTTTTTTGAGGACAACTTGAATTCACGTCCTGTGTTTCTTTTTATGTTTAGTAGCTAACAGATGGCTAGACAAACATGAAAAAAATGGCCTTGAAATCACAACAATCTTAAAACATGACTTCAGAGGCAGGTGTTAGAGATAGAGGCACAAATGTGTTACAAATAATGAATGAAGAATTAGAGTATGTACTTGACAGCTAGGGTGTATTGTATGTACTCAGTATTTGGTTGTAATTTGATGCACTGTATGCAGACTACTTGGTACAGCTCAGGTCATTCAAAAAGAGATTCCTTTGCGGACAAATCAGTGTTAAAACAGTTTGATTTTACGGATGTATGAGAACTGTTGATGAGGGAAAGTCACAGAGTATTGACTATGTATTATTATAACAACCATCTCTGTTTCATGCAGTATTCAAAGTTTGCTTTGCCTTTTTGTTAGCACAGGAAGGAAAAAAAAACGTTTACTGTATTTGTTGTCATTTATGGTTTATTTCAACCAGTCATGTTTATTTGCTGTTTAAATTTCTTTGGATTTAAATTGCCTCATGTTATTTTGTTCATCATAAATGTCTCTTAGTCATCATACTGGTTGGATTCTTCCTTGTTTTTTTTACATGACCTTCCCTCGACATGTTGTGATGTATTGGGGCCTGAATTTTATTTAAATGAAATAAAAGAGAAATTATGGATTTTAAAAGCAGGGCTTGAAATGATGTTTCAGAGTGTGTACCAGTATTACGGTGTGATTTCCCCTTTCTCACAAAGGCACCAGTGTATGGCAGTGAGTTGAAACTACAGATGTTACCAGAGTGTGCTAACCAACCTTCTTTGTTTGCAATGTGATGTGCCTTTTGGACTCACCTGAACAGATTGAGTACTTGGGACGATAGAAATTCTGTGTGCCCTATTTTACTTGTCATTCATTCTGTCACAGTGTCCAAGGTTGTGATCGCCAGCCTAAACGACATAAATATGACATTATGGCTGTTGGTGAATTTCACCCAGGTAATGATAATCAAACATTTTCATTGTACGGAGTTTTCATTGGGTTTTTTATTTATTTAACCTTCATTCAACCAGAGGTACGTTGAGATTAAGATACTTTATCGAGGGAGACTGTTAGTTTTCCATTTCACTTCATATGTTCATGTGCTGTGTTACCAATCTCACACTGTATGCCTCCATCTGCTGGTTCTGTACTGGAACAACAGCCTATCAACTTGTGTTCTTCCTCAGTTCTTTTTTATTATTATTATGTTTTTGTGTTGTTGTTGTTTTGTTCATCTATTTCTAAATCTTGTATTTTGTGAGAATTATCTGTTGGCTGGCCCAACTTTATGTTTCATTGATGTTGCATGTTTAATTATTGTATTTCTTTTGTTTGTTTTTGCGCATGCTGTTTCCAAAATTCTTGAAATACAAAAAAGAAATTGTCACTCAACGTGTCCTTGGATTTTGAGTTTATAACCATGAGTCTAGGTATAGTTTGATGTGTGGATGCTGTCTGTAAAACTGTTTTTAATTGTCTTTAAAGTTCTCACACATTATCACCATCACATTAATAGACTCAACAGTGGCAACACTTTAATTAAACTCCATCCTACAGGTGAGACCTTTTTATCTGGAGTTGTATAGCTAAAGTACATCATATACAGATCATCGTATCGTCACGTTGTTCATTTAATTATAAAAGACCTATTGCAGGTGTTGTACTTACCGCAAACAACCATAGGGTGTCAGTACAGTACATGAAATCAAATCTGCTCAATTCACAACAAAGACTGCTCCCTTGGCTGTCGATGATGTAACCAGTTCCTAAGGATGTTTTTAGGAGTCTCTGTGCTCTACACTATTAATGAAGGAATTGTGAACGTGAAATAATGAAGGGGAATGCCAATGAGAGGCAATTTCTGAAGAAATTGCAAGTGTGAGTGCTAGATGTTGAAAGGCTGGATTCTTAACTGCATTTCTGGCTTTACAAATGTATGAAAGATGTGGAATATTTGAAGGTTTGTTGAAAAGCTGACGTGAAACTGAATTGCCAGCTCTAATTAGTGTGAAAAAGCAGCTGAAGGATTATGAATATTGGCTCAGAGCTAAACAGTATTCCTGGTTTTAAAAGTTGAATAATACCAATAAAAGGTAATAATAAAAAAATGTAATAGTTAAATAAAATAGTTTAATGTCAGTTGAAAAACTGATACTAAACTGCAAGGTTGGCCTTGAAAGTTGAATAATAATAATGTATTAAAGGTGGAATATTTTAAGGTTTATTGAAAAGCTGATGCTAAACTGAATTGCCGGCTTTAATTTGTACTAAAAAGCAGTTGAAAAGCAGGAGTATGAATAATGGCTGGGAACTAAACTGAATTCTTGATTAATAATTTTTTTTGTTTAAAACGACAGCCTAAGCTCTTTATTTCTTGTTCCTGTCTGTCCATGGTGGTCCAGATTTGACACCAGTGTTTACCACACGTGCAGTTTTCATTGTCTTCCTCCAGCATTTTGCGTGCCTCTGTGTTCCTGTGACCTCCTGCCTCAGCCAATCCCTGCACTGGAGCCCCACCAGCTTCATTTTCAAAAAGTAAGTAAATACAACAAAAACTGATCACTGTCAGTTATCCAATACTTCTATGAAATGTATTTAAAGTGTATTGAATGAATGAATAAGTGTGTATAAAAATAAGTCAAAAAGCTTGGACACACTTTCTCATTTAAATGAATGGATTTAAACTTTGTGTTGACTTAACTTCCTTCACGGTGTAAGTAAATATTAACCATTTGAGTTGTCAATTCTATATTATGGAGTCACAGTTATCTGTAAGTTATGTGAACAGATGGGAGCTAATTCTGTTACTCAACAATCCACAATCCACACATAAAGCAGCCAGAAGACCTGCAGGTATGTGTATTTGAATGAAATACAACGTGTTGAATTTTACTTTAGTGTAGTCTTGCCCGATGTATGCGGTAATATGCAACACAAAACTGGTAAACAAAAAAAAAGGTAGGTACAATGCTCATTTATGATACTACAACACAGCACTGAATAACAAAATGCTTGTTATAGTCATACTAACATTATTCACAAAGCCAAAATATGTGAATAAAAAAGTCATAAAAATAAACTATTTTCATGGTGGAGCATGAAGGAAATGAATCTGGTGAAGTGACAAAATATGTTTTGTTCTATGTTGTAAATACTAATACCAGAGAATTTTGGGAGGTTACAACTCAGTTCATTGATTTATTCTGTCCGGTGTGAACTTTTAAAGTTTTTTTAGATTAAAGCTTTCTTCACAGCTAGAGTGAAACTGGCTCAGTGATGATAATACACACATAACAGAAGAAACTATGTGTTAACTCTAAGGAAATGTGCTGGTTGCATCAACACTGTGCACCACAGAAACTGAGATGTCATAACAGGGCTACTGTATGGATACCCCCATTTAATCTAGGCAACAACATGACCTTTCCTCTGACGCCACCCGCAGGACAAACCTGATAATACAAACAAACATTTGTTGCCCCACTAGTGGTGTAAAGCACAAAGTACAAAATGAAAGAAAATTTGAGCTTCCAGTATTCACGCCCAGTTTTCCAATGTAGTCTTAATGGAGGCAGTGTTTATTGAGGATGACTGATTCCCTACTGCTCAGTGATGCTTCTTATATACATTGGGTATGATTGTATCTGTTTCTTATGAGCAATTGTCAGAAAATAAAAATACTTATTAGGCATTAACATACAATATAAATGGAAACCAGCATGTCTGCATCAGTAAAGTTAAACTATTACTTGGAAAGAGGCAGCATTTTCCCCAAACTAATTAACAAAAAAAGCAGCTGAAGCTCACTTATGTGTCAATCAGCGTCATTAGCTACGAGTCCTCTTGTGGGTTATAACTCCCCCTTGTGCAGAAGGAGTACTTCCTGCTCATATATTGAGTTCTGTTTCATCCCATCAGACACTTCTCCCCTTTAATCCCATCACAGGATCTAAATCCACTGAGTGGAGCAGCTAAACGGTCAGCAAAGCTCCTAAACTCAAATTACAGCGGGATGGACTGTGCACAACTCAGCAAGTATTAGACAGTGCACACGCTTGAATAGTCCCTGCATTGATCTTTTCACAGCCTGATTGTATATATATATATATATGGCACTTGAATCACAGGAAATAATGTGGTATCCGTTCAGTGAGAATTGTTGACTATTCAGGTGATGACTTCCTGCTTCAGCTGCGTCCCCTTGTGTCTGATCTCCTGCCAGTCCTAAGCTGTTTAACTCTGGTTTCGTCCATGACTCTTTGTGAGACTCCAGGGTTTATGTCCATGCATAGAGGACAGCAGTGCAGCGAGAGATACAATTCAGTGCAGTTTAGTGTCAGTGATCATCTTTAATTTTCAGGCTTTGTTTTCCCCTCATATAAATTCTACTAATTAATCTATGTGCCATTGATTCATCAGGCCCTGCATCAAAGACATTTTTCTGAGATTTGAAATGCCTGTGTTTTTGTTGTTATATCCATGCTGCAAGTGTCTTTTTTTTTAAGTATGTCTCTCCTGTCCCCTGCAGGGCTTAAGAGTGTCCCATCCTGTCCTGTCTGGCCTGCTCTGGACCTCCTTGTGGGGTCTAAACCCCCCACACACACAGTAATCCTGTCTGTGTGTTGTCCCGTCCCGGCTCTACTATCTGAGTCTAGCCTGGCCCGGCATAGCACAACAAGAGCACACCCAGGAGTTAATCTGGATCATGACGGTAATTATACTGGCTGGGTGTCCAGCCTGTAGGAGGATATGGTGGTGGTGGTGGTGGGGGGGGCTGAGGAGGAAAGCAATTGTCCACTAAGGGAAGAGTCAAATAAGCAGTTCTACCCAGTGACCTTGGAGAAAAGTATGAGGGAGGCACGGAGGGAGGGAGGGAGGAGACAAACAGAGAGGGAGGCAGAGCAGATCCAAGCATTAGCATACTGACAGAGTTCCAGCACTGCAGATCTCCCTCTGTCTTCAGCCACTCTCGCTTTTCAGTCTGCCGGTGAAAGACAGAAAGACAAGCAGAAGAGGGAGGAGGACAAGTGTGAAACAAATCCTCTGACAGATGAGAAAAAGGGGATATCCGCCTTTTCACTGGTCCCAGCACAGAATTCAGAAGCACTTGTGAGTAGACTGCTATCAGCTTGTCATTCACTGAGAGTGTGTGTGTTTGTAACTGTGTGTGTGTGTGTTCTGTATGGCAGTGGCTGTAATAAGAGTCACATCTCAGGAATTTATGGAAGCAATAGGAAGAGTTTCGCAAGGACGTCTTTCCACAATGTTTGTTATTGTAACCAAGGTGTATGTGTGTTCTTGCTGACGTGTGTGCTGTATGTACAGTATATGTGAATGTGTGCACTTGGTACACCACAGCACATGTTGTTCCCCCAGCTGCCTGTCAGAAACAGACATTCCTGTGGTCTGATGACGATGAGTGAGCAAGTATTTCAGCGACGTCCTGCGAAGGCGTCCATCCCAGCTGTGAACACTGTTGCAGTGGGTGGATGTGGTCCTCGCCCTCCTTGTTTACCAGTGTGGCTTTTTTTATTTTGTATTATGCAACGCTCTGCATGCCGCACCACACGTTACATAGCATCAGAGCTGCTGGCTATGAATCAATGGCAGCAGGATGGGTTGGCTAACAGAGACACTGCAGCAGCCAGGCATCTTCTGCAGCATCCAGCTTTGTGCCAACTGACACTGCTGTCACCGAGGGATGTCACTGTTTTGTGTGTGTGTGAATTTCTACTGAGGAATGGAGCGGTTGCAGTTTACCCAAACACAACACATGTCCCAACCAATTTCTGCTGTTTCTATCATCTTTTTCCTTTCTTTCTATTACCACAAGTCCAGTGGTGATGATGTCACTGCAGCTTCTTTTACAGTCGGACCCCCCCCCCCCCC